AAACTCCGCCAGAACGAGGAGTTAAAAAGGGGGACAAAATAAGGTACAAACCCTAGGGTGCAAACAAAACCGGTACATTAACAAAGGGTTTCTGGTCTTCTTTATGATCCCAAGTTTTGCAAGCATCAGGCACAATAACAGTATTACTCCCAATGAGATATCTACAAATAAATTTCATTCTAAACTGTATTAAGTAAGATATTCTAGACTGAATACTATTGCACAAAATAATAAACATTTGTCAATACAGGATAATTTTTAAGCAAACACAGTATTGAATGTACTCCTATTAAGACAGCTACACAAAGGTGATTTTTAAAACCCATTTTCAAGTCATTCCAAAAATATGATAATGTTATGCTCTATTATGATAATGCAGCATTCTACTATCATATGACTAGGAGGCAGACATACACACAGACATTTATATAATAATGACACATGAACAGCTTCACATGCTATTTACTGTTGTGCTCACATAATGCTTGTTTTCAAGACTCTTTTCAAGCATTTATCAAATTCCTCATAACTGCTGGGAGGTAGTGAACTAGGTAATTTGTAAGACTGTATTTTAAGTTTAAAAATCTATTTTTGTTCCAAACTGATATTTGGTTGGTTTTTTTTAATTTAGCTTCATAGAAATGAGTTTTAATTTTTGCCCCCCAACCAGTTCTGAGGAACATGTACATCCAGCTGAGACCCTGTATGACATAATTAAACCCAGAGCAAATTTTTACGTTCAAGATATAAACCCCAGAAAATAGGGATTTATAATGAAAACATTGACAGGCAGTTAACCATAGCCATACTGGCAGGTGTTGCTATACAACGTTATCAGTCTTACTTTTATTTTCTTTCAGACCACGTGAAGAGACATCTGTAATAGTACATCTTTGGTGATACACATTACGGAAAGCTATGGGAAAGTTATAACATACATTACAGAAATTGTATCTCTGAACATAGACACATACAACATGAAATGTTTAGACATACTTAAGTCACACAAAGTTTGATAACAGCTACCGTACTTTGACACACAAGACTAAGGTCTTTCCTAGACTTTTCATTGTTAAAGCCAGATCTGGCAAACACTGTGCACACACAGATAATTTCACTGACATGAGCAGTTTGAGAGTTCAGAGGGACAAATGCATACGAACAACTCATGTATGTAACTGTTTGCAAGATCTGCTCCTGAAAGTAATCCTTTATGTTAACAGATTACTACTAAAAATCCAATTTTGAGACTCAGTAATTTTTTGTTCGCTAACTATTCATTTCAATTTTATGAAAAGACATTATACTGAAACTTGGAATTAACAAAGATTTAATAAAACAAGTTTAATAAAACTATACTATAGACATTTACTTAATAAAGACTTACACCATATGCCCAGCACCATCTTCATACAGATGTATTGTAGTTTAATCTAATCCTAGAAAAATATGGTTTCCTACTAGCAGTTATTTTAATAATTAAACACTTCACAACAATTTAATATTATCTAGGACTTTATTATTTCATACAGAAAAAAAATACTAAGTCTACCCCTGTAATTTCTTCATCATTACTTTTACTTAATTTTACAAGCAGCATAATTTTCTCTGATCTACAGGAGAGGAAAAGCCAAATTATCTCATGCAAAAAATGTGGTGTAAGCAGCACAACATTCAAAGTGTTAAAGAAATAAAGGATTTTTTTAAGAAATGAGAACCCATAATAATCAAAAGACACAGCAAAGCAAAATAAGCTATCTTTTTACTTTATAGCTTGGTGGTCTGCTACAGAAAACATACGTACATGGAATCTGCGTAATCATTATTTGGATCAGTTACTTGCTAGTATGCACTAAAGCAGCTGAAGTAGTTCTTACATTAAAAGTTTGGGGGGGGGGTGTTGCGGTTTTGGGTTTTTTTTTTAAAGATGTAATTTCTGTGAACTAAATCCTGGCAGGTGCTGAGTATATCCTACATTTCCAAAGAAATTTAGAGCATTCAACCCTAATAAAGCAGGCTCAAGGAGCAACACTTCTACATCACATGACAGACACAACAGAGCTGTAATCCTTAGTGGAAATGAAGAAACCTTGAACCAATGTGAATGGGGTTTGCGTACGAGCACAGATTGATGTGATTTTTCCCAGTGCTCACCCTTTTCTTAAAATACTTGTAAATAAGTAAAAAACTTGTTCATAAGATCTTAGGGTGTACTTTATGTATGAATGACTCCTAAAATGGGAAGCTTTTCATATAGTGCTAGGCGTGCAAAACAGCATATGCTTAGTGCCATCTACTGGGAGTGCCTGCTTATACGCCGACTTTACCATGTCGGCTGTAAAAAATGTTACGGGCAAACCATGCACTAGGTTTGCACACATTGAAACGTTTAGTCCTAACTTCAGACAAAAAATATTTTTAAAATACAATTTGGAAGAATAGATCCACACTCCAGGTGCTAATATACAAACAGAAAAAGAGCAAGTAAAAACAGGTCACTAGCACAACTGTTAATTCAGTTTACAAATAATCCATCGTAACTCACACATGCTCACAAAATAGTGTTTCAAAGAAGAGACAGAAGGTCACCCCTGTTCTAAGATACTTCTTAGCATTATTTCATTCATTTAACTTTTTGAAAGAAAAAAAATTTTTTTTCACTTGCTTCTGATCTACAACTATGACTAAATATATAGTAAACATTACTTTGTATTACTTTCTTCCTTACATGAAGGACAGAGGTACCATTCCAAGCATAGAAATTGAAATGATACTTTCATTCAAGTCCCTGTCCTGCAAATATTTAACTGCATGGAGTTTAAAACTGCGTTCGGAAGCCCAATTTACAGGTCTGCCGGCACTTTGCTCCCTCACGCTGAGCGGGCAGGGGTTCCAGAAGGTTAGAAAATTTCCTTCCATATGGAATATGCCGTTCAACCAGAAGAAGACCAAACTCCACACCATTCCAGACTCGGTGGGCACATAGCATGCTGGTAAGGTTACAGGGCTGCAATTCGCACAGAACTGGGTGGTGGGAAAAGTACTAACTCAAAGCGTTATGTCATAAAAAAGTCATGAGAACTCGGGGCGTTTTCTGTACATTCAAAAGTTAAAGTCACAGTGCATTGTGGCATTTAAGTAGATGTTGGCTCTAGATCTCCTTCCCATGTTTAATTTGATACATGCTATACCATTTACTTTACAACCCCCTTACTACACCACACACAAAAGCCAAACCAAAGGCAAAGCAAGCTTATGTTAATTTATAAGCATCTGGGGAATTTATTTTACTCTTAAAATATGTGAGATATGTGATTGTATATTATTCCACTGTTAGCAGATGAATTTGTGTTTATCATCTATAAATATCTATATATAAATCTATAAAGTAGCCAGTCAGTGGAACTCAATCTATTAATGTTTGCACAGTTATTGATCAAAGGGACAGGAATAAACAGTAGTGTTATGAGCATTTTATCCCAAAATGTGACTACAGGGTTATGCCAGAAAAACGATTTGACACAATAGCTAACGTAATGCTTTGCAAACAGGTACGCAACAGCAAAACCTCCCATGGGCTGTGTTTCTAGCTGACCAACTTTGAGATCTCCTTGTCAGAGCAGGAGCAAAATGCCCGGAAGACTGAGTGCCCCCATTTTAAGGCAGACACCAGCAATATGAGCACGCATCAAAAGGTGCATAATAAGGGCTAAGGAAATTTGCTTGCCCTTTATTTTTAGGATTTTAAATTTGGCTCAGCAGCAAATATAACAGGAAACCAAGGTCAGGCTGACACAATGTGGGCTATTCTCTCTCTTCCTCAATATGTGTTTGCAGCTCCTATGTAGGTTAATGGGAGTTTTGTGCACATGTGGGGGGAAACAGAACACAAATGCTGCAAAAATTGGACTCAGATTTAGTTCAAATAAAGTCTAATCAGCTTTAGAAAAATCCATCAGCTTGAAAACTGATGTCTTATCACTGAAAAAAATCTTTAGAACATCACCTCCATATGCTTTTTAAGTCCAGCTCTGGGAAAAAGCGCTCGTAACATTTTGCACCCTTATGAACCAGTTGTGAGTGTAGTACAAACACCCAAGCTGGGTCTTTTTTGATGCTTCAAATACTGATCAGCCAGGATTGTATCTTTTTTATTTGGGTGTCAAGAAAATTCCTAGTGACGTTCAAAATTAGCTCAGTGCAGCTCTTACTTTCTTCCACATAACCATGTACACTGACATTATTATGTAGACATTACAGACACTGTTGCTGTTTAACTCAAACACAAATTACTTACCTAGGTTCAAGGTTTTCATGATATAACCAATTCATGGAGATGGGGTCTTATGGCCCCCTTCACAGATCTAATAGCAGAACCTGGACCTTACATGAAAAGTGCAGCTGCATCTGGGAATTAAATTGTATGTTTCCATTTATTTATTTAGAGAAGTGTCATGTAACTAAAGAATATGCTGTCAGAGGAATGAAAGAATTAAGTTTTAAATTCTGCATGCTTTTTGTACATAATTTTCAGTGCAACATACTTGATTTATAATAAAAATGTAAAAAGGGACACATGGAGTGTAACGATAGTAAACTGCTAAAGATTTTGGAAAATATTTTAAATCCTATGATTTAATAGCAATCGATATGCTAAATTCTTTTATGCATCTGTTTTAAAAAATTATAAGTGGCATTTATAAATTTTTTTCAGTTTAATTCGTTTTTGCCAAGAATGAGGAAAACAATATAAAATTTAAGAGAGAATATGTTGGACAAGGAAGTCAGACAACATTTCCAAGCATCCTAAAATCTCGTATGTGAAAACCCTCACTCAAGCCACTGACTTTTACAAAAAAAAAAAGGCAAACAAACTTCGGGTTCAAAGGAAAATTTAAACAAACCAGAGCAACCCATAGTGCATCGTTTCCTGCAGCAGACACACCCATTCCTAAAAGGGCCTTCATTATGCATGACACAACAAGCAGCACCCATTCAACCTGAGGGAAGCCCACAGGCTCGCAGGGCCACTGGCTGGCTCTTTGTCACCAAATGCAGCAGGTTGAATGCAGACATCACTGTGATATCCTCACCAACAAAACCAGAGGCAAAGAACAGGGGCAAGAGCTGAGTAGGGAAGAAAAAGAAAAAAAAAGAAAAAAAAAAAGATGAGAACAAATTAAAACATCAAAAATGTTAAGATACATTCACAGAAAAAACAATGCTTACAATTTTATGAGACCATCACATGGGAGTACAATTCTAAATGCACTTTTCTTAGTATGTCTAGCCCATTTCTGACACCCCCCCCCCCTAATTTTTTGATATATATTACATAGTGCTCAGTGAAGCAACTTTCTATGCCACCAAGTGAGAGGGAGGGGGCATTTTTATAGGAGGCATTCACAACAGCTGCTTTAGATACCTAACTTGGAGCAACTCGAGGTAGCAACCTACATGGAGGTACTTAAGTGCGGAGGTACTAAGGGATAAACCTCAGGACCTCAGCTAGATAGCAGGAATCCTGCTTTGAACACCCAGGACGGGCAAATCAAACATGCAGGCTTTTCTATTTATTTTATTTTAAACAAAATCACACTCCGCAACATTTCTGAATGGTGAATGCTGCACACCAATCATTGCCAAAACTTGTTCTTTTGATGACTTGTTTGAGGAACATGACATTTCATTGTAATAAACTTGCCAGATATCTTAAAACTACGTGCCCTGGTTTCGGCTGGGATAGAGTTAATTTTCTTCCTAGTAGCTGGCATAGTGCTGTGCTTTGGATTTAGCATGAGAATAATGCTGATAACACACTGATGTTTTAGCTGTTGCTAAGCAGTGCTTACACTAGTCAAGGGCTTTTCAGCTTCTCATGCCCTGCCAGCGAGAAGCTGGGAGGGGGCACAGCCAGGACAGCTGACCCAAACTGGCCAAAGGGATATTCCATACCATGTGA